GACTAACTTGTTTCGTTTGTCATTAAGGATTAGGATTTTGTCATTACAAAAGCAATTTCCCCCGACCTCCTCTTCGCACTTCCCCTTCACTCCCCTGAAAATGAAATGGGATATGGAGATCGAAGAAATCGAAGCGGTTCTCGAGAAAATTTGGGACTTGCACGACAAGCTCAGCGACGCCATCCACTCCATTTCTCGAGCTCACTTCCTGGACTCCATTAAGAGCCTGAGGAAAACCGACAAGAATAAGCTGCTCGGCGATCAGAATCGGGCCGGGTTCATGATCGTTAAGGACTTTCGGGTGGATGATAGTGACGCCGCAATTCAGGAGGCCAAGAGTCTCAGCGCAATCAGGACCGCTCTCGAGAATCTAGAAGACCAGCTTGAAGTTTTCCATGTGAGTTTTCCTCTATTTCTAGAGCATGCTTGTGGTTTTCATTTGTTGTAGTTTGGTTCTGTTTGATTAATGAGAAAATGACGGAAAATCTCCACAGAAAATGTATTTTAATCTCAAGTCAGTTTGTTTAAAAATCGCTAGGTAAATTATAGAGAATAAGTTGAAATCGAGGAAATCAGCTTAATAAATCTGAATGACTCAGTTCAACTTACTAAATCTTAAGAAAACATGTGAGTTAAATACAAGAAGGGTTACTCCACCTATTGTAAATTGGTTTTAAACTGGATGACAGTCTTGTATTGAAGCTTAAACTGGATATAAGTCTTGCGTTTGCTTATAACTCTGATCAGGAAAAATATTAAAACTCGGGTATATGTATAGCCTAATCCTATTGAGTCAATGGTTGGATTAGGCATGTTTTGTTGGATTCTTTTCTTTCATTGAAGTCCTAAATTATGGAAGTTAATCAAATGATGCATAAACTTTTTTAGTTGTTTCATTTCCTTAAATGTGTTTAACAATTCATTCATTGCTATAAGAATGATAACATTTAGATTATTATTGAGGCATGGAGGGAGATACAAGGTTATGAAGCTCTGAGTTAACTGTTCTTTGGTAATTTGGTTTCAAAAAGGAGGCTAGGAGAGCGATTTCAGTGGGAAGAAACAGGTTTGTGACTTTGTGTGGTATGTCTTGTAGTTGCTTCAAAGATAGCAAACATATCATTGAAAGTTTGAAACAATGGGTTGGAGTTTCTCTTTCGGATATATAGGGATTGCAGACATTGGCTGAGTTAAAATCAAACAAGAGAGATTATATTGAATTGATATTAATGATTCAAATTTGGAAACAAAGAAATGACTCCAGGAGTTAAGTAACAGAACAAGAGTCATTTTTTGTTTTTTGTTTTTTGTTTTTTTTTTTTTGCCAAACATTCTTAGTGGTTGCATTCAAGTTTCTCCTGCATTTGGAACCCACATGTTGCTGCTTTGTGCTTATCTGGTGTATGAAATGGTTTGTCCAGAAACGACCTCCCTAAAAATGAAATTCTATATTAGTTTGTGGATCCTGAATACTGAATATATAATCAAGAGATGTGTCGAGGGTTGGAAGTAGCATCACATTAGTATCATTTCTGTGATTTTCACTCTTACTACACTTCCTATCAATGTACATATATGGTTGGTTTAGAAATTACTTAAGTGAAATGTTTTGGTGACTTGAATCTCCAACATGGAGGTCTTAGGTTTGAACCTTAAATCGAGTGGAGAAGGATTTTGGGAAAAGAGGAGGGCTATCCCCTTTGTATAGCTTATCATCAGAAGTACCCAAAAAAAAAAAAAAAGTGAAGTTGTTTTCACTATCATCTGACTCCTAGGGAACTAGTTACACAACAAAGAGATGTCAAGAGTTGTAAGAAGTTACAAGATGCAGGAAAGTTCAGTGAGATGGCCATTTTTATTATTATTTATGGGTTGAATTCTAACATTTTGCTTCAAAAAATTAAGTCCAAACATATGTGTTTCACATTAGTGGTTGTTCAGGGTGCCAATCACAATTTTCTTTAGATTCCATTTTCTGCTTCTGATTTGCTGTTAACCTGTTATATTTGCTTGTTCTGTGATCACAATATTGTTGCTGATCTAGATCTATGGAGGTTTAATTTCTTTCTTTTGCAACCTGAGAGGTGAAATATGGAGGTTTAATTTCTTTCTTTTGTGTTTTGCAGACTGTTCAAATACAGCAACAGGCTGAGAGAGATGCTGCCATTGCACGATTAGAACAAAGCAGGAATATTCTTGCTATGAGACTGGCTGAACACCATGGTAAGGAGTATAAGGTCATTGAAGAAGCCTTAGCTTTTGTGGGAAATGTACGTGACACTGGTCATTTTGTTTCACCTGGAAACCTTTATGATCCACCTTGTACAAATATGAAATCGCATGAGGGGAAGGTGTCTGGCATACCGATCAAAGTTCTATTTTCTAGTTTCAACTTTGCAAAGAGATCTTTGAAATTGGACCATATGGGCAGACTTCTGAGCAATGCAGCTTTGTTTGCGGTTAGCATGATTGTGATGCTGCATCTGCATCGGGTTGCTCATAAAGAAGAGCCTTTAAAGAAGCAAAAGGATAATATCAACAACTGCGTAAGTTTGAGAAAAACTTCTCACCTTGAGGTTCCTTCATCCAATGGTCGTTTAAGACACTTGGATGTTATGTTGGCCCGAGGTTAAGGCAAATATATGAAAATCTGTTTGGCAATTAGTAGTCAAATGATGGGAGGCCACTGTTTCTTTAATTAAAAGAAGCTTTGTCGTCCTTCGTTCTGATAAAGTCACGACATTGACAGTGAGCAGTTTTGCAAGGTGTCTGCCATTTTTATAGACTATGCAAGTTGTTGGGACAGGCGTTGGACTCTATTTGATCTGGTTGTTGGAATCGTCATTTGGGGCACAGATAATAGGTACTGATGGACGTCATATATGTGCATATTTTGTGACATCATGGGCTGTTAGCATTTCCTCTAGCAATTCCTTGTGTATATTCCCACTTCTAGCTGATGCTATTGTATTTGGGGGAGAAAAAGGTAGATTTTATTGGACAATTGTTGGATTTCAGGCTTTTTTAACCTTTTTTATTTTTTTACAAGCAACTTAAAAATATCAGTTTATGGCTGGAAAAGGTAAAAATTGTCTGAATCAAAGTAGTAAACAAGTCCTCGGCCAAGGAAAAGGGATAAGTCAAAACAATAGGATTTAAGTTTTGAGAACAACATTCAAGATGTAAAGTGTGTACTTTTAAAATTGTTTTTTAAAAAAATTTAGTTTTAAGGGGTACCTAAGCTAATCAGGAGACAACTTAAATTGTTGAAAGTCATATATATATATATCAAAACAACAGTTGTCTCAACTTGGGAGGTAGCATGGGTGGGAAAAGTTCGATAAGATCAAATTAACCAGCAATCAGGTACCATCTGAACAAAGTTGAAAGATGTTTATTACCAATCTCAGGCGTCTTCATCTAAATGTTAATGATTTGCACTATTTTGAAGGAACTCAGGTGAGTGAATTGTTGCCAAAAAAATCTTTTAATTTTTTTCAAAATGATAATTGCAATTTAGTAAGTAGAGGATCTCCTATTTACTATTCAAGCTAATGTCTTGACTTGAGGATTAAATTCAAAAAGGTGAAATTCTTTTGAATACTCATGTTTATTATCAAGGTATGTTATTGCACTTGGGTCTCACGGTTCAACAATTATAAATTGATTTGTAAGATGTATCTTCTCAGTACAAGGGTTGGGTTTCGAATCCCCTACCTTTAATTGTAAATCCTTTAAAAAAAAATTATAGAGGTATGCCATTGGTACTACTTACATGATAACCTTGTATTCCTTTAATTAAACAAATTTAGGTACACATAAAATTTAAAAATAAGTATCAATTAATATGAGATTCAAATGTGAATGAGAATATACTTTTTGATAATTATTTTTCATAACTAAAAAAATTAAATAATACTTAATACATAAAAAAAATACATGTGAGATTGATATGACAAATAGCCAATGCCAGGATAAGAGAAAGAGTAATGACTTGACTGCACACGGTGCGGTGGAGCCACTTCTTCTGCCTTGGGTGCTGAACGATAAACAGGTGCCAATCATGAAGGTGGAACCAGCCAGTACCCACCCAAGAAAGAGTAATACCCAATACTCTCTGATTCTGAGCCCAACAGAATTACGAATGTCAGAAATCTGGGCTTCCAGATATGTGTCTTTAGAGGGCAGTAGATGGACCATAATTATGAAGAAGTAGCAACAACAGACATGCCCGACACCGTGAGGGGTGATTTTCAGGTGGGTGAAATTTATTGCAAGTATCAAATTAAATAATAAATATAAAAATTTAAATATGTTTACTTGATTCGTTTAATTAATTTATTATTTATATTTATATAATTGAAATTTTATATGTATTTATTATAATTAATATTTATATAATAATAATAATTTTTAAAAATAAAAAATATAATATAAAAATAAAAATAAAAGTAAAGTAAGACATGTAAGCCAAATATATTACATGCACAACAATAGTAACTTATATAAATAATAAATCCTAAAATCAAATGCATAACTTATATAGTTAGTAACTATATGAGGCCCTCTTCTTTTCCTGAGCCAACTATACAAGTATATACTTATAACTTACTTGTTACGTAAGGTGTTAAATATAAGTTTTCTAAGTATTTAGTTAAGTATAAGGAAATGTTGGAAAGTTTGGTTTTGTGAAGTCTTGTATAATTGTTTTTTCCTTTTTTGATTGGCACAAACTAAAACAGAAAATGAATATGAAGAATATTATAGTGCGACCTATTATGCACAAAGCAGACTACATTATTTTTAATTATTGATGGTGGGATTAGTACATAATATAAAGAAAAACTCATGCCTCTATTAATGATTATAAAAAGTACAATTCACGTTGGACAAATTATATTCTAATTTTCTAACTAATAAAAGATGAATGAAAATTTACTAATGACATTGTATTTTTGTACTCTAAATTGATTTTTTTTACTAGACATACTGTAAAATTTCAATCTCAACCATAAAATTAAAGTCAACTCTTTTTTTCATTTTTTGGGGTTTACTACTAATTAAAGTTAATCTGAACATATATATGACTTCTCAAAAATGGCTTCTTTGACTTTTCATTGGACTATTGACTTTGTGAAACCCAGAACGAACTGTTCCTTTTAGAGACATTAAGGTCAAGAACAGAACATTCTTTCCGTTCTTTGGGCCTAAATTTGCACCATCTTGTCTGCAATTTTAGAAATCCCAGAAGGGACAGCTATTATGTGTCATGAATTCAAAAGATATCAGCAAAATTAAGTCAACTGAGAAGGACATAGATATTCCCGCCTACTTGGGCGCATATCTTCCACCACTAATTTTGTTTGTGCTACAAACTACATTCAAACGTGAGAGTTAGTAAAGTGGGGCTGAAAATTTTCTTATTAAATTATGATTTTTTTTAATTTGACACATGCTAATATTGTAGTAAATATATTTTTTAACTATAATTTTGTATTAAAAAAATATAAATTGATTTTTAATTTATTATCAGTTTAATTAAATTTATTCATGTGATATTAATATTAAAATTTTCACATTC